AAAATTTTTTTTTTTTTTTTTTTTTTTTTTTTTTTTTGTGGGTGACGGGGAACCCTTAGCAGTTACCCTTCGGGTGCGCACTAGATAAACTCTCGAATTGGCGCAATAACTTGCAAATCACGCCAGCTAGATAAACCGCACTAAACAAACCCTATGCGACGGACTCCACCAACTCGACCACCCCATGAGGCATTGATTTGCTAACAATCTTTTCTCTATTAGTGGAAGATAAAGCAATAGTTTCATATTTACCAACGTAACTTGTGTTTGTAAACACTCGAAGTCACGTTTTATCACAAATTTCCAAGGATTCTTAATTAGCCACTTATTTCTATCTTTTTGTATAAATAGTAAGCCTTACCCAACAATCAAACTAGTTTCTAGGGACACTTTGAGAAGCCTAAAATTAGCTTCAAAATTTTGCTGGTCGAATTGGCAATGGATAGATCTACAATTCGTAATAATATCAATTAATACAACAGTTTAGCATTCATTTTAAAGCTTAACTGTGTCATCAACCCCCCAGCGATAAATAGACTAATTTAACCTTTATAAATTGTATGGTCCAAAAGGTTTGCGGACCAAATACTGTGAAACACCAGATAGCATACGTACTACCAAATGAAATGAAGATGCTTAAAGACAAAAACAAAGTTTCCCCACTTTCTTCAAAGCCAAAAAAGAAAAGAAGGAAATGAGTTGATACATACTGAGGCTAATTACAATTCTGGGCGCGAAAGTACAACTCAATATCTACATTTCCATCATAAAACTGAATCTACAAACTGGTCGAAGAAACCATGTTTCTCAATCAGTCACTTAAATCTCTCGAGTTAGAGCAATAATCTTCTAAAAAAGACGGCCCAAAACCAGCAGGCTTTTCTGTTTGATCAACCGAATCATCTCTACTAATGCATCCTTTGCCAATGCTACTTTCCAAAGACTTCTCCAAGAATGGAACAATGCCCATAGCTGTGATGCTATTGCTGACGGCGAGTATGTTTTGCTTATGACCGCTGCTGGTCAGCACAGAGGGAAATGCATCAAGCAGCTGCGAATTAGGCTGGTTGGAACAACTGATGAGCAAGCGAAGTGTCTCCCTAGCACCTTTTTCGACCACTGATTCTACATCTGGAATCAGAGGCTTCACAAGATCTGAGCCTAATGATGGAATAGTCGTCGAAATCGTAGGGCCTGCACTGACCAAATACCCTTGGCCGGAGGAGCAAACTTCAATAATCGGGACATGAACAATTGGGTCACATGTTAAAGGCGAGAAGGTCACAATCTGCTGTGATGTTGGAATGGGCAGGGGCAGGGGCAGGGGCAGGGGCAGGGGCAACCTGACCAACGGCTCAGGCAGGAGGGGAGGAAAATCCACAGGGGGGACATGGTCAAGATTAAGGGGCATTTTTGACGTCAAACGACTAGATTGCCTGGCAGTTGCTAGAAGAGAAGAAAGTGGTGGTAGAGTTAATGATTCACCCATTGAATGTGAAGGAATTTGAGTTTCCAGCCCCCAGAAAGGAAGGTCTATGGAGTTCCCAAGAGCATCTAAAAAATTCAGTGGAGGAAGCAGTTTAGTTCCAGTTGCTTCTGAAAGCTCGTTCTTCTCAAAGCAATTTGAACTAGTTGGCTCAACAAAACTTGGTGAAACAACATCTGGGTTGTCAACACTTGACATGCATATCTCTTCACGTCGACTCAGTTTCTCCCAGGCAAAACCACTCAATGAAGTCTTGTCTTCAAAAGAACTGGCTATAGGACTAAGGCTAGCCTGATAGACGGGATTTGGCTTTGTTCCTTGACTTCCATAGACCCCAAATCGTGAAGTCTTCATAGATTCTAATGAAGATTCAGCACAATTAGATTCAGAAGAATCAACTGAGTTATCTGGAGAAGGGGTAGCTGGTAGAACCGAACAAGCTAGAGCACCAGCCATCATTGATCCAGCAAGATAAGCTCGAAGATGACTTGTAAAACAGTTGAAGCGTGAATCATTAATTCCAGTTAATTCAGCTAATGATGGTTTCCTCGTTAGTAAATCCTTCATCTACACCAGGACAGAAAATGAGAACTTTAAAAATAATACAATGAAAATTATGTACACATTATACGAATTATTACACTGATCATACCTTTCTGAGCAATTCATTCCCCAGAAGCTTAGACTTCTCAGAGCACCAAAAATAGAAAATCTCACCATCAGGGATCTTGATCAAGAAAGATCGTCCAGTCTTATCTGCTGACATTTCTCCAATTTCTACAGCTGAACATTGAGCATCTGTGCTCAATGTTGCCACACTCTCCATATGGCCATCGTCCCCATCAAATGAGATGCGCAAGTCCAAAGTTGGTAAAAGTGTGAGATTTAAATTCCCTCTGTTCAAATGACAAACGAGGTCAAAAAGCAATTGTGAGTGAAATACTCCCGAAAGATTTCAAGGAAATGAAATTATGTCACATATTTGGCAGCCGATCTTTGTAACAAAGACCCAGACTAACAGACATATGGAACAATGATGGTTAAAACACCAACCAAATAGCTAAGCCTTAAAAAACAATCTACTCCATTTTCTTGCAATGCATGAAATTCAATTTATACCTGATCAGACACACTTTACCTTGATTATTTTTCATGCCTCTATATTATATTTCAATCATTAGGAGGTAAATTTAGAATTAGTACACTGTTTAGCCCCATCCCACTCAACACTCAGTTCTCGTAGACTCGTTTCTTTTCCTTCTATTTACGCCAAGTATTTTTCCCAATTTACCCGCATCATATCTGAAGATAATTTTAACCTATCACAAGGATTTAATTGGGGACGTGTCCACAGGAAGAAGAGAAATCATATGTATCACAAGTTGCAAGTAAAATAACATCATCTAACAAAAGCAGCTAATAACAAGACACTCTAGTGAGCTCAATACTCAAAAAATATACCGACCAAAAAAAGAAAAATAGTCATAGAAGTCGATTCTTAATTCAATACATATAGCAAGTAAAATATTCAAAATGATCTGACCAAACTAGCGAGTCATCACCACATGGTAGGAGGCAGAAGGACAACAAAAATATTACGACAATGTTATAAAGCAAATCCAGGACAAGATAAACAATGAAGCTTCTTCCACATAGCATTCATTTGATCCGAACAAGAAAATGTAAGGTACATCATTAACATAGGATCATGAAACTACCTTTACTTCTTCTTAATTCAGAGATCATAAAGTAACGCCCAATTTACCTACAAGTCAAAAGACATTTTCACTTGGAAGGCTGAACATAATCACCATTAAGAAGCTAAAAATACATGACCCTGTAACATCTAGCAGTCATCAAGAATAAGATGTGATAATATTATGCCCTTGTTTGAGCCTCATTCTTACCCAAAAATACATTTTTGAATAATGTATTAATGGGAAATGTGTGATTAATCAATAAAAAAAAATTTCAAATTTATGTGTAATATTATTTTAATGAAGAATGTGAGGTTGAAATGGGGTCAATCCACTGTTGAAAAATGTATTTTGATGAAAATAACGGGACTCAAACAAGGGCTATATACAACAAAATTAACCCACATCAAATTGTCACTTATACTAACTAATTTCTATGACATATATCATGAAGAAGGGAAAGGCTAAAATGCATTGCAAATCAGTAAATGAACATAAACTAACATATAAACAAGAACTGGTGCCAAACACTGGAGCTCATTTCACTATGAAGTCTCATGTCCAGGTGCAGTGGTCTAAGACAAAATCCACCATTTAGTGCTGATCAATAGATGGTTAAAACAAGACATAGTAATAATAATAATAATAAAAATAAAACCTAAATGACTATAGGGGTTAAAGATGATAATACAATCCATTATGTCATCATTAATCCAGCAGTCAAAATAGAATCTGACATTCATATTATAGTTGACATAGTAAAGTAATTTTCATGAATAAATAAAACAATGGACAAGGAAATATTGCAGTATAAAGTTCTAAACAATAGAAAATAGCATTAATTACATGCAAGGAAATTATTACACGAGAAATCTAAATCATATCTCCAATTACATGAAATCACACAAAATTTTGAATCACAAGCAATAATTAAACCAACTGCCTGTATGGGACAGCCACTCCACATTTGAAACACAATACAAATACTAGTAATCATTAACTAAATGCAACCAAGTAGGCTCAGAGGAGAAAATAAAGAATCCTTGGCGTTAACTCATCAACTGAAATTAGCTCGTACAAATATGTCATTTTACTAATAATCAAATTTAATTTCCTTGACGCAGTTTTTGCTCTGGCATTTTGCCAACCTTTCCAGTCGACAAAGGCCAAACTATTTCATTCACTATTCCATGTGACAGTCAACATTATCAAATTTTTGGTCCGAAGATAATTGAAAAGAACAAATAAAGACAATCTAAACAATTTTGAAATTTATTATCTTCAGCGAGCTATTAAATACAATCACTTCTGTTTTGAATCTATTTTTAAACTTCTCCGTCACACTATTTGAAATTAGAAGACAAAATTTGATCACCTATGAAAAAAATTATGTTCCCAGAAAGGTAGATAATTAAAAAGCAGATGTACTCAAAGGTGTAAGTCTAACAACAAGGATCTATCCCACACACCATATAATTAACTTTCAGGCTTCAAAGTAATCTAATTTTTTTCTCTAGCCCGAATTTGTACATATTCCAAACCAACCCCCTAAAAACTTAAAACCCAAATTTGTCTCTCAAAGATCCCAGTCCCTGGTTAGTTCACTCAACAAAAATAATTACTTCAACAACAAAGCAGTAGATACTATAACAAAGGAAAAAATCATTTTCCACGTGCAACAGTAGTTTCAGTTACAAAATGAAGAGAACTACCTTATGGGTGTTGGACATAAGAGGCTCCCTTGCTTGGTGATCTTCCCAGCGCGGATAGAAACAAGTGGCATGCACAAACACCTTGCCAGCATACCCACTTCTGATGGCTCAAAGTGCTATTTCATTATCAGATAGAAGTCAGTTGAGTTGATAATAGAAAATGAAAGGGAATTATGTACACAGCCTTCTCCATTTATAATTGAAGCACAAGTATATATTATAAAGACTAATTAAAATTATCCAAATCAAATATATCTTTCCTAGCCAACCAAATTGAGAAATGCAAAAAAACCAAATACCTTTGTAGAAATTATTTATCGAAGTTCAATTTCTTTCATCCCACAAAGTAATAGAATAAGTAAACATCTTCAGAACTCGAGAATAAGTGAATCGCTATATAAATAAAGTCGATTGGGGCTAGGAAATTGAAATAGAAAAATCTGTCTAAATTTGAATAGATATTTCACCGATAACATTTCAGAACCATAAATTCTACCCTCCATACAGAATTTATTATAACCAGTACATACAAGGGCCCAGATTTTCATTTGATCACTTATACCTGATTAAGGTAAGCCAGCAAACAATCCTCAGCCGCGCCGTTGGATAAATTGAGTTTCAGCAAGGGCTTCAACCTTTCGTCCGTGCGACAGGCACCCAAAACCTGCATATCTAGAGCCTGAAGCCACTGCAAAAATCCATCCCCCCGACCGCTCTGCTGTAGCAGCAGATCGCCGTCATCATCCTCCACAAGAATCTCCGTCAACCTCTGCATAATCGAAGGATTCTCAGCGGATGAGATCTCTGTACCGTCCCATGAATCGTTGATTGAATCCTCGCCGTTAGTCTCTTGATCCACACGGTTTACATCTTCGATCTGGCCATTGTTTCTCGATTCTTGCTTTTCAGAATTAGCCATTTTTAAATCTTAAACTGAATCGACGTAAATTGAGTTATTACACAAAAAGATCCCCAATTTATCTCGTCTAAAAATTTATCAAACCGTTGAAAAATTCAATTCACAAACGTAAATCAATCACAAAATCTTCAAAGAAATAATGACTAATAGAATTAATGAAAATTCGAATTGTACAACAATATTTTGTTTTTTTTTGTCAAATCCCCAACACGATTTCGTCAGGGCGAAAATGTGACTTGGGTGGCCCAGCAGATATATTTATATAGCAGACGGAGATACCGCGGACTTGAAAGATGATATTGAATAAGGGTATATTGTAGCTTTGAAGTCCGGAAAGTATCTGACAATAATTGCGATGCGGGTTTTTAACACGTCAGCTTTACATCCTAGTGGGCCCCAGTGAGGGACCATTGGGCCAACAGCTGTGTCGCTCAGATTGCCACGCCACGACACAGTTGGATCCTCAGCAATTTTTTCATCTGGCCCACTTTGGGTTGCTTTCTGGTAGGGGTACAATTAGGACCCACTTTAATAATCAACATTGTTGTTGACATTGAAAAAAATAATGCTATTTGAAATCGTTTATTTTTCAATCGTCCTATATGACATATATGTGGTAATTACGATTTAATATATAAAATAATAAAAAATTATTACATTAATATATTAAATTACTAATCGTCACATGTCTACAATATATGACAATTATAATAGTGAGCGACTGTAAATAACATTATTCTTAAAAATATATATTTCATTATTGAATAAAGATAAATATTATTTTTGCATGGCTATATTATCAAACTTTTGTATATTTTGGTTCCCCTTTTCTTTTTTTACTTTTTAATAAAAAAGGCTCAAAATTATTTTCAATCACATAAAATAATTTTATACGTAGATTCAAATTTTTTTTCCTTATCTTTTAACTATACATTTTTTCAAAAATTCACTTTTCACAATATCTACTCTAAAAAAATCTCTTTGGGCCAAAAAAAGTTCTTTTACAATTATTCCATATCATATTGTCATTAATCCTTCGACAGTGATAAAGTGAACTGTTGCGGAAACTCTCTCAAAAGATCTTCAAACGGTGGTTTTCCAGATTTGGTCCAACGTACCTTTCTCTACCAACTTGCAATCAAAACTCAACAATTCAAAAACAGAGCAAATAATTCATAAATTTTCTAGTTCAAGCAATGGTTGTCCTAAATTTTCTAGCACAAGCAATGGTTGTCAAGCAATGACAACTCCCAATCCTAACGATCACCCCACACGATGATCTGCTAATGCTGAAATTTAAAACTAAGTTAAGCCAATATACCAGAGTGGACTATCTGAGTCCGTAAATTATGAGAGTTGCGAATTTATCACTTTAGGACCACCACTATTCGTCTTAAAGTCTCTGGAAACTGCAGCAACCAAAAAAATCACGATTGAGTCCCGAACGTCCGAAGAACAACGCTGTCCAGATTCTTTTGCGTACCCTGAAACAGAAAACTTTCAATACGAAAAATGTCAGAAATAATATAAGGAACAAACTACCTGAAGAGACCGTCGCTAGAAAACGTTTCACGCGCCCGCACGCGCTGTCTCTTCCCTCTGCGCGTGGTCCTCACGCGCCACCACACGCGCCGTTGTCGTCCAACACGCGCAGGCTTGCAGGGTTCCCCTCCTCCTGCACGTCACGCCAGTGGTCTCCGTTTCCCCAAACTCCTTCTGGATTGATCAGAAAATGCGAAAAACGAAGACTGATTTAAACAGTTTTTGGACAGCTTCTTCGATCTGATTTCTGCTGCGTTTCTGCCTATTTTCTGGACAATTTCTGGTAGATTTCACGAGCCAAAACCTTCACCTTGAAACTCTGATACCAATTGTTGCGGAAGCTCTCTCAAAAGGATTTTCAAACGGTGGTTTTTCAGGCTCAGTCCAACGTACCTTTCTTTACTAACAACCAATCCAAACTGCTCCAAACCACAACCAATTGATTCACCTTAGTTGCTATACAATCTTACCCACGTAGGACAAGAAAATGATGATGATTTATGGCCACAAAGGTATACTAGAACACAGCGAAAAGAGAAAAAATAAATCATCCCAATCCCATGCTGGGCACGATAGTATTTGCTAATTTAGGCTCTGTAGGTGAGCTAATTCGGACGAGTTGCCCCAGTCAAATTCAGAGGAATTTGTTGAAGTCGATTTAGCATATAAACTTATCAAAATATAAAAGCGGCCGTAACTCGACCCAGAACCCAATGTTGCTTCTGATTCCGACATAGCAGTTCCTCTGGAAATCCTCGAAGCTCATTAATCGGGCCGAATTATGATGACTCGATTCTGTGCTGTCCAGGTATCGTAGAATTTCTTCAAACGGTGATTCATCGCAAGGAATGGTGTTGGGTTTTTGATACCCAATAAATCTCGAGCTATGATGTTAACGTGGGTTAATATTATTTCATAGGCATAGGCCGATGAATGAAATAAGTCCAACAATCAAGTCCATGAGCTACACTCGGCCCAACTGTATTCCTTATGGATGGCTTGAATCTTGGCCTGTTTCCCTCTTTAATGGCCCAACTTAAAGCCTAACCCTAGAGTATATATATGAATATAACCCTAGCCTCTTTTGATATGATGGTTGTGTGATTTTGAGAGAAGAAACTAGTGAATCCCGGCTGCCCCCCTTTTATGTGAGAAAAAGGTGTCCAGAAGTGTCCAGAACGCTTGTATAACGTGTGCAATTGATGGTTCTTTCATAGTATACCTTTGTGGTGTCTTCTCCTAACTTTTGTGACCATAAATCATCATCCTTTTCTTGTTCTACGTGGGTAAGATTGTATAGCAATCAAGGTGAATCAATTGGTTGTGGTTTGGAGCCGTTTGGATTAATTGTTGGTAGAGAAAAGTACGTTGGACTGAGCCTGAAAAACCACCGTTTGAAAATCCTTTTGAGAGAGCTTCCGCAACATGAACACTAATGTTGCATTTAAAATTTTTATTGGATTTATTTTAGAAATAATCATAATTTATTCATATTTGAGTAGATCAATCTCGAGAGAATTAAATTTACATTTACACACCCCAAAATATGAGTAATGCTCTAAGTTTTATTTACAAACAATTGTTCATGTGAAAGTAAATAATTGTCACGTTCTCCCATAAATATAGGATGTATTTTAATTGATTGAAGAATGAACCATGACTTTCTAGCCACATTGAAGATTGAATCCTTAATTTAGTTAAAACCGGCTCTTATTTGAATTGAAATCAACTCATGTCTAGCCTCATTAACGAAAATAAACAAAATATGTGACCAACATTAATTGTTAATTTTAAAAATTGAAACAAAAAATTCAATTATTTTTTGATATATCAATCTGTTGCTTTACTACGCCATTTTCAAGCTTGAATAAATGATTATGCCTTCGAAAGTGAGTCTTGTACGTAATGTCTCGGAAAAATGGTACAAAATGGACCCACCGTTTAATCATTTGTGTGTGCATATATATTGAACATACCTTTTTAGGGTATTATTTGAGAGAGAGAGAAACTAGCTATAAAGTCTTCTTTACGATGACTGATTAGTGACTGTGTGGCTCAGAGGCAACGACCAATTAACATCAATCTTTCAAAAACCGACCATGTAAAGAGATTGGTGCGTTCCAATATTTTAAACTCGTGTCAATTGTTTATCATTCTCTATGCCAGCTGGAAGGGACCCATAACTGTGCTGTTCATTTTGGCTACGCTCCCACTTTTAAAAATTTAGGAACTATTATCTTTTTGTTCGAGTTTTGAGTTTCATTTTAAGTTTCGTATTTTGAGTATTGTTATTAAAATTGTTGAAAACATGTTCTTTTTGTTGTTTTGAAAAAATATTTCCCAAAACATAAAACTCGAAAACTTGTTCATTATCCTGCCAAACCCCAAGCCTATTTCAATTCCCATCTCCACCACCAATCCACCCTTCACCCGTCACCATCATGTATCAAATTTCCGGTGACGTTGGCCACCAAGACCACCACCAGATATTGGTACCATCGAAAAGCCTTTAACCTCTTCTTCAATTATCAACCAACATCTTCCTATAACTCCATTAAATTTGCCCAGAATCCATCCACAAAGTAGCCTACTCGGAAATCTGAAAATTGTCGGAAACTCCACCTCCGACCGCCAAATTGATCAGAGCCCACCACCGGTCGATTGCCCACCACAAACTGACCCTAACCATGGCCCCAATTTACTAGAAACAACAATCCAACAATCGAATTAAACCCAGACATATTGGTCGTCGCGAAGCCCGATTTACAGAATCCGAATTTTGCAAATTTTGACTCCGTCCGCTGGACCCATGGTCGCGGACCACGTGTGTTGAACTCCTCTTCACCTGGCGCACCTTGTTTAGCCATGGGTCAACCCCAATTTTGCCTAGAACTTGATGAATTTATGAGCGCACCTTGATGAATTTATGCCCAAAATCGTAACTGGTAGTGGCGGTGTGAGGGGGTTCGATTGTTGAGGAAGAAGCAGCGGTGGTGGTTGATTGTTGAGGTAGAAGTGGTGGAGAAATTGTTGTTCTTTCATGGTTCTCTCACGCACAGTGGAGAAGAAATGGAAAAGGTTGTTTTCTGCATTTTCCATTTTTTACGTGTTTTGTACAGAAAACACCCAAAACGACATTTTGGTCATTTTGTGTTTTCTTCACAATTTTTTTTTTTCAAAAACGAGTTTTCACCGTTTTGGAAAATCGAAAACAGAAAACGGCCCGAAAACATCAAAGAGAACAGCCCTTATATTTTTAAAGTTTATCTTTAACATATTTTATGAAATTTCGTAATTTTTTTATTTATAAATTCAACGACTTTTATCGAAATTTATTAAATTTCTTATACGCCCGAGGCTTGGTTTCTTTAACAACTAACTCTATGAAAATTCAAGAAACGGATAGGAAGTTTGTATTACAGATGAGATAATTTAAAAAACATAACTAGAGATAAAATACATTAAAAAATTCATTTTAACTCATGAATTTTCTTACAGTGCGTACGATATTGCTTAAAATTGATAAAAGCTAGTAAAATTCATGAAATATGATGAAAAAGTAAATAAGAGGGTGTTTGACCACATTATTTTAGTAATAATGTATTTTTGAATAGTGTATTGATGGAAAATGTTTGGTTACAAAATAATGAAATTTTTTTGATTTGCATGTAATATTATTTTATTGAATAATATATGGTTAAAATGATGTTAAATCACTGTTTAACAATGCATTTTTTTTAAATAATATGGCTCAAACAGGCCCTAAAAGTCTTTTTGTTTATTGGTGAAATAATTCCATCGTATGGACCTATTGCCAAATATCCTCACCATTTTCAAATTGGCCGAAAACTCCTCTATGTAACCTTTAACGTGCGAAAGACCTCATTTTTCTAAATAATATCTCGTGAAATAACGAATATACTATTTTATTTTAAATAGGAATAAATAAAATAAAGAACTAACTTTCAATTGAGTCCCAAAATTTTCAAAAAGCACAAATGAACCCCCAAATTAATGATCAACATAAAAAAAAATTCCCTTTCTCACCACCAGCACCACGACAAAATTCAGTGTTTGTTTCTTTTGGATTAAAATCTGATTTTAATTTAAGTCAAAGTCAAACAATCAATATTAATCACATCTCACATTCGTTCTACAACTTTTTTACTACACATTTCAAAAATTTCTACCACAATTTAGCCCTTGTTTGAGCTTCATTCCTTTGGAAAAATACATTTTTTAATAGTGTTTCAACTACACATTTTTCAATAAAATAATATTACACGCAAATCAAAAATTTTTCGTTATTTTTTAACCACACGTTTTCCATCAATACACTATTCAAAAATTCATTCTTCCCAAAAAAAGGGGTTCAAACAAGACCTTACTAAAAATCTAATTTTAATCCTCACCAAATACCTTCTTAATTATCACTCTAATTCAACTGGCTTTCTTCAAAGTAAATTATCACGTTTGCAGCTGCAAATTTCCCCTTCAACCACACAAAACCCATCCATCTCATCGAATTGCTGATGTTGTGGATACTGTTACCATTTTCCCATCATCATCTTTGCCTCTCCTGATCTGAGCATTTTTTTTCAACGCCACCACATTGTTGGACTGCATTGCCATATAAAGATATAAATACTAAAATCCCAAATAGCTGCAAAACTCAAGTCCCGCTCAATTCTTGAACCCCTTGTAGATTCCACCATCAATACCAGCAATTCTCTAGTAACATTTGTGGCACCATTAACTCTTGGACATTGAACCCTAATTTCCTTGGGTATCCTATTAGGCATTTTATTACATTCACTCAACTATTCACACTATTCTCATCCTGAAAAACTTCTTTTGTCAGACAGTTCCATTTTTGGCTCTGTAACCCTGTAAATTCGATCCACCCTCTCACCCACATTGGTAAAGTTGTAGACTATCTGATGGCTTCCTCTTTTTACTTAATGATAAATTACTCCAGCCTGCTAAAAGAATTGGTACTGTCAAAAGCGTTATCACATTTTATAGTAAATTCCGAACGTAGAAGTTCTATTTTAACCCATTTCCACAAAGATTAAACAGTATAAGTTAAACTAATCATAACTATGATAATGCTGTAATAGCAATAGTTTATTTGTAACTGCAATGGGGAAAAAGTTGGTATTGGAATTTAGGTTTTTATTTATCCTCAAAACAGTAATTTTTTATGACTTTTGTAGTTTCGACATTAGTTAATGAAAAAGGTGTGATTGAAATGTTGATAAAAATCGTGGATCCAATAAAAATACGTTTTTGCCGCTCTCTCTTCCTCCTAGAGATTCTCTGCTCACATTGGAGATCTTCCACTCCCGACCCTCGGAGACTTCGAAACCCTTGGTTGGCACCCTCCGAATCGAACTCAGGGATCTCCTGGTCTACTCAAACGAGTCAATTACTCCAGTCAAGTCTTTTGAGCTTAAACGACCCTCGGGTCGTCCACACGGGAAGATCCGATTGAAATTGTCTCTCCGTGAACGCCCCATTGAAAATTACCTTACTGCTCCTCCACCCAGCTATATGTACTCTACTGCACCTCCCCCTCCTTTGCCGACTTACCCCGGACGCGACTACAGAGGATACTCTCCTGCTCCTTATTCAAGCCTTCCCATGGTTCACCCGCCGCCGTCTATGCCATCTCCACCACCACCTCCTGCACCTCAATCTTTCTCATACACTACGTACTCTGATCCCTATTCAGGCTACCACCCTGGTTACTACTCGCAGGTGCCACCACCACCTCCTCCTCGGTCGTATTTTGAGAGGCAGTCTAACTATGGTGGACCAGGGCCGAGTGCCCCTGTGGATTATGCATCTTATGATCACCAGAAACGAGGGACTGGAAAATTTGGAATGGGAATGGGTACAGGATTGGCAGTTGGAGCTGTGGCTGGAGCACTCGGAGGGCTGGCACTGGAAGAAGGGATAAAATACGAGGAAGAGAAGATAGCAGAAAGAGTTGAGAACGACATGGCTTCTAGAGATGACCAGTACAGTGACTATCGCACTGATTATTGACGTAAGATTTTATTAATGGCTAATAAGTTTGTGTTAATCTATAATTTCGTGATAAAATATGTATATATAGTGTGCTGCGTGTGTTGGATCTAACCTTGAGTTTAAGTGGAGTTTATTCAGTGAGAAACTGTTCCCATATATAATGAATTCTACGTTTCAGAAATAAAAATCTGGTTATGAAGTTTCTTGCCTTCAATTTCAATATAATTAAACTCGTTGATTTTTATTTTTTTCCCTGTTGAGTCGTATTTTAGTTTATTTATGCTTCACAAGCATGAGGAAGGAAGGAGAACCGGAGAACTGCAAAATAGTTATAAATTTTGTTTTTGCAAGTTGTGTAGATAGTAAGTCGTCTTGTCTAAATTACGCTAATTGTGCGGCTTTTACTTGAGTACCTTTGACTTAACATGAAAGTTCAAGCAATTAGAATTTTTTTCACAAAGAAAGAATATGGTTTCATATTAATTGCACTCCTGGATGAGTCATATTTTCATAAATGGTATGCTACTATTCCGGTTCATGTTGGAGTTCGTAGCATGGCTTATGAGGTTGCTGGGTGCTATCCTCTGAAATAATTTCAGTCTTTAGATGCTTGGGTAAATGCGATTTCTATGTGCTTGGATAAGCTTATCAGAGTACGAGTTGTATGATAATAATTGGAATTAAAAGCCTACCAAGGTCATGCATAGAAACTTAGGAACGTAATCTACTAATACTCTTAGCAGATAGTATAATAATTGTGATTTTTGAGATTTATTTCCATGTGGACATGATGATGTGAGTTTCTTAGTGATGCTGTTTTTTTGGATTGTTACCAATTCTGTGCTAAAATATTTCTAGGAGTATGATATTGGGCACTACCTTTGTACCTTGTCATAATTTTTGTATTTAGTATCATCTCTGTTGATAAATGTAAAAAATGCTGAAGCTTAGCTAAGTTTTATGGAGCTTTATTGACATTTTCCTGACAGTGGGTTTGAATACCTTTCTTTAATTCATTTCAAAACTGATAAGATGCTCCTATTAATCTTACGACGTTTGTGAGTTCGTGCTTGTTGAACATGTTATGTAGTCTTAATATCTTGCAGTTTTAATAAGCTATTAGAGCCACCACATTCATTTAGGTCTTGTTAGATGTAAATTTACCAATTAGTTTTCATATTGTTCCTTTCTCGCAGAGGATTCATTATTTAATTGGTTAAACTTTGTTGAGCTAATAATAATAACGTAGTCTAATGGGATCACTGTCGTAGTCAAAGGTCAGGTTGGTAATTAGCTTGTTTCATGTCAATATGGTTGCTCGATGTTAATAAATAAGGTTCCAATAGAAGCTTGCCAAGTTTTTGCTAGATCTATATTTCTTATCTTCAATCTAGGAGCAACATTCAACAAATCAATAGGTCGTGTATAAATTTCTCTTCCCTTTTCATTTCTTTCAACAATTACAATATAAGCCCATGATTAGTAACATTATTTTGTATCACTCCCTTAAACACCCATAGATGGCATTCGTTGAGACCACCACGCTGTAGCAGACTTCCAAAGCCCGCCTTCCTTTCCCTTCATGACTTTTAGAGTAATGCTATTTAGTCCCGTTGTAACTGTCACATAGATAGGTGTTAAGAACCAGTGGGTTGAGTAGTGAATTTTTTCCTTGGGAATGTTTAAATATCATCTTCGTACCCTTGTTTTAATTGTAATTGGACAAGACCAACCACCTCTCTCTAATGCAATAATGCTACCACTGTACTTGTTGTGTCTATCATTAGTTCATTCCTATATCAAGCATGTCAAAGGCAACCTTTTCAAGATGCCAATCCCATGTGCATCAACCTTAACGCAAAAACCTTTTAGCCTAAGGCAGCTAGTGAAACTTTATCCCTAAAATGCAATTTTTATAAAAATTTACAATTCATAGAATCAATTCAAGGGAAACTCCATCACCAATAATGACATGGAATGTGGTGATGCCAACATCATCTTGTAGGAGATAATAGGTGGAGCCAATAACTCATTAAGACTAACATATCGACAACTACATTCTCAAGTGACTTATAAGTATACGAAAGAACCTTTTTCATCTAATTTCATTGTGGATCTCCATTTTTTTTATTTAAATTTGAAAAATAACCCTTAGATATTTGTAGTAATGTATTTGATCATGATGCAATTGAATTTGGATCGTGAGCATTATCTAAAAAATTTGCTTAATGATGGTACATTTTATCTATGCACCCAAAGTTGAAGTATAGGACGCATGCGACATGGATATGAGATGTGCAAGAAAATTCACAAACATGTTGCAAAGCAATTTTCAAAAAAATATTACACTACATGTTGGTTAAAGTAATAACTAAAATTATTTTTATTTCATATACCTTTAATTTTCGTTGTGTAGCAAATAAAACATCATATACTTCTTTAATTTTTATTTTTATTTTTTATGACTATGGGTGTTCGAGTCAGTTTAGGCGCACATCACCTAATCCCATGGGACTTTGAAGTTTACATCCGAGTACTTACATCAGTAGCTCTGAGGGGACTCGAAATGGTGATCATTGGGGAGCAAATCCAAAGTTTGACCACTGAGCTTTCCCTCAGGGTTAATAAAACATCAGATACTTGTTGCATCAAAGTGTATACTAAATATAAAATAAACTTGACGTTAAGTTCATACATATTTTGTCATCGCGAAGCTAAAAATAATAATTAATCATATCATCTTCAGTTGCCAAGATCTCATCTCTTTCTATGGTAGATACTTTTCCTTCCAACAATGGTTCATCTAGAGATAAATTAGCAACTTCAAGTACAAAAACGTCTTTAGAATTAATCAAATATAACCTTACTAATAACATTCATTTCAATCTCTCTTTTTGAATACCGTTTACCATTTTGTATAAAAAAAAGATTGCTACTAAATCCTCTGTATGTGTTGGAGCTACCTTATTCCTTTTAAGAGAAATAAAAAAGAAACAAATACTCTAGTTTCACTCAGAACACGATGGAGAAGATGGTTGCACCAGTAACTTCAATGCTAAAAGCAAAATGGCCTAAATTCGTGTCCAAAAATGGAGAATCAGTTGTACTCCTCATTTGCTTCAATGCGCTCTTCATTTGACTGGTATATCTTGAGGTTCTTCATTCTTCTTGTCAAATTTCTAAATCTTCATACTGTGATTGTAGTGGCATCCTCACCATGCATATATGTAGTCTGGTATAGAGAGAGAGAAAAAAAAAATGATAAATAAATTAATAAGAAACAAAGTTTGAAAATATAAGTAAAGAATGAATATACGATTTAAAATGACCATGGATTTAAAGAATGAGCCAAACAAATGTGTTTTGAATGACATCGTGAAATGATGAAAGCTATGGTTGGTGCTTTCCATTGTGCTTGTAGATCTTTGCTTTCACTATCTCTATTTTTATCAGTCTTATTGTATTTCACATGTTATAAACTAAGTGAAGTTGATTTTCATTAGTAATACAGAGTTTAACAATGCATGGAGTCTTACCAAAGATCATTAACTACTTTTTATTTGACAATTTTCCTTTCACATGTCATCTCCTCGATAGGATGACTAGTTATGACTTATAACCTTAACTTCAATAACATTTTTGACAAGTTTAAATCTTTTGAGCATCATAAGAGAAGCAAATTGTGTTTCTGCTATAGAAAACTTCAATAGCATAAATTTACTAAATGCAAGTCTCATGTAGCGAACTATTGTAAGTATTTTGGAATTATAATATTATTCAAACTAGCGATCAAATTGTATTCTTCATTATTAACTTGGTCATTCTTAAATTTTTTAGCTGGAAATATTTTTCAGAGTGAGATTTAGTAACCAACTCACATGCTATCCAAAAGTGTCAAAATTGTGCTTCAATTATTTATTTCCTCATATATTTTAAATTTTGATTATTCTAGATTTTCAGGTTAGTATTGAGATGATACTCCTATGTTACCGTTGCCCGATGTCAATTTCATAAATTTGGACTATGTATTAGTACAAGCGGGGAATAGAATAATTGAAGAGGAATTTTGTCACTTTTTGGACACCATGTGTTGTGCAGCACTACGTTTTGGCTAATGATCATAAATTGTTTATAAACACCTAAGTCGCTTTTATTCACACATTTCGAGGGATCTACAATTACTACTCACATATCCACTACTCATTTCTATCTATATATAAGTTACCATTATAAACACTTCCCAAAATGCATCTAGCTTTAAAGTATATTTGTGAAGCGAGGATGAGAATAACCGTATTACGATTGAGGAATGCAACTCGATCACTCGTCTTTATGATGATGAAATGATCATACAAGTTTGTGTAATGTTGCTCTCTATAGTAGAAACGCAATTTGCTGTTGTTATGTTTAAAAGATTTGAGCTTATTAAGGGTGGTCTCCAATCTATATTCACAAGTGATAAATGGTTATCTTATTCAAAAAATGGTGCGATTTTTATGCTATCCTCTTTCAATATGAAGAAGATAATGTATTAATGTGTTAAGGACATGTTTTTGGAAAAAGAGAGTATTATGAGATGTGTTAACCTTTTTACAAATAAATGCCGTCTTTACTTGATGTATAACATGTTACAATGATAGAGAAAGTGAAAGGAATGATCTCTAAATGTGCAAAAGAAGTGTCAAAAATCGGTATCACATTTTATGTTGTTCACATATGTACTTTTGATAATTGGATTAATAATAAAGCTCCATTGCTTGGCCCATTCTTTAATTCTAAGCTCATTTCTAAATCACGTGTTTATTCTTTATTCACATTTTTGTATTATTTACTATTACTACTTTGTTACTAATCTAATCTTCATTTCTGTATTGTTTAGATACAATAGTGAGGAAGGACATAATCACTCGAGTTCCTTTTGAGTAAGATTTCACTAGAAATAGTGGAATGCCTTAAAAGATAGACGAGTGCACTAAATTGAATATAGAGCACACTAAATTCTCGCCTTTGGCGAAAGACTTGTGTGCACTCTTACTCTATCCATGATGATTACCATATGAAAATCCAAAGACTTGGTGGGTCATCTGTGGTGCTTATGCACCATACTTAAAATATTAACCCTGAAGTTATTGGTGCAACCATTTTCTTTCTCATGCTGTGAGGGGAATTAAAGTACTTATTCTTTTTTGTGCTCTCAAATGAATTGCGTTGCTA